CCTAAAACTATCAGGTTTGTGCATTGTCTATGACATCTATGTACCAAATTTCCTTGAAATGTGATGATTACTACTTGAAATAATAAAAGCTGAAAATTAATTAATTATGCAAATTAGGTAATTAATATGTACTGATATTACCCTAAAAACTATCAGGTCTGTGCATTGTCCTATGACATCTGTGTACCAAGTTTTATTGAAATGTGATTAGTATTTGAGACGTCAGTGGAAAAGCCGAAAATTGATTAATCATTATGCAAATTAGGTAATTAATATTTACCCAAAACTAATCAAATCTGCGCAATAGTTAGGAGCATCTATGTGCCAAGTTTCATCAAAAATCAATGTATGGTTCTTAAGATATCAGTGGAACAGACACACGCACACAGACAGACACACTATAAACTGCAAAGACTCCCTTTTTGTGTTTCGCACACGGGAGTCAAAAACACGATCATATGAACACTGCTATTTATAATAATATAAAGACTGGTAGGGGATAATAAATTTGGGGCGAAAGTATTCAAAAATCAGTTTTTAGCTTCGCTGTCGACTTTGTTGAGCGGAGCTTATCATATGAGTGATTGTCCGTCGTCGTCCATGTCAATGTTTTACTTTTTGACTTCTTCTTGAAAACTACAAGCCTGAATGCTTTGATACTTGGTGTATATGTACCTTGGGTAGACCTCTCTTAGGTTTGTTCATTTCATGTTGATATCTTCAATTCTCTAATTTTGGTGAATATTTTTGTAATTTGGGGTAAAAAGTGATATTTTCGACTTCTTGTTAAAAACCGCAAGTTCGATTGCTTTTATATTACGTATATAGGTACTACATGTGATGATGTGGACCTCTTTCAGATTTGTTAATTTTGTTGTGAAATCTTCAATTATTTAATTTTGATGATTATTTTTGTCATTTTTGGTGAAAAGTTATATTTTTGACTTCTTGTTGTAAACCGCAAGTCCGATTGCTTTTATATTACAAATATACGTACTACGTGTGGACTTCTTTCAGTTTTGTCTCGTTGCTTTTTATATATATATTGTTCATTTCTAATGATATCTTTAGTTCTTTAATTGTAATGTGCATTGCTAACAGCGGAGCTATCTCAGCCGAGAGGCTGCTTGTTTGGCTGTTGCCATGGAAATGGTGGGCCAGAATTTGTTTTCTGATTTTACAACCTAACTAGAGTGAAGGTATGACTTGCCTGCCAAGTTTGAACCAAACGGCCCAATAATAAATTCAAATAGTAGGAGGGGATACATTTGGCACGAAGCTATCCAGTTTTTTGGCTGTTACTATGGCAACAATGGGCCAATTTTTTTCTTCAGATTTTACCTAATAACTAGGGTGATGGTGTGACCTGCCTGCCAAGTTTGAGGGAAATAGGCCAAGCCAAAAAAATCACAGATAAATTAATGTGTGAAAACACTGGAAACGACACACAAAATTGAGTTTAAGGGCAATCCTAGTGGAACGGATCGTCAATAGTGAACAAAAATGTTCGTAAATATTACTGACCGCAAAAGACGCTCATCGCGAAGTGTCTTGTTTTAATGTTTTAATGAATCAGATCTTGCATGTAATCCTATTTAACCATTATTTTGGAGGCAGTAGTTGTATAATGACTAGCAATGACTAAGGGTATGGCTTATTTGGAAAAAATAAAATAACATATCAGAAACACTAAATTTGTAAAATATTGCCTTTGCATATGTCCATAATTTACAGTATGTCCAATTTTAAGAGCTTATATTCCTTTCACCACCAGTTCTCTCTTTTCATCACAAATTCAAAAAGTAGTCTTGTTTATAGTCTGCACTTTCTTTCACAAGATTAGGGAAAGATAGCCAAATTTTTGGGGTAAAAATTTTGTCTATTGGCTCCAATGGGATTCATTTCTAGAAATATTGTAGAATATAAGAGGAAAAAATGCAGACAAATTTGGGCGAGAAAGTCTGGTGGTGAAAAAGTCAAGATTTATGTGCTGAATATGAAAATCCCTTGGGTTAAAAATGCTTTTTTTGGACCAAATTTGCACCTTACCGTACATGTACATTGCCATGGTTAGAAGAATACAAGTCTTTATCTGAGTCTAAACTAAGAAGATCAGTCATTTCTTAGTCTGTACTAAGCATTCATACATATTTTTTTTTAGTATTTAGAAGATCAGTCATTTCTTAGTTTGTACTAAGCATTCATACATATATTTTTTTAGTATTTAGAAGATCAGTCATTTCTTAGTTTGTACTAAGCATTCATACATATTTTTTTTTAGTATTTAGAAGATCAGTCATTTCTTAGTTTGTACTAAGCATTCATACATATTTTTTTTTAGTATTTAGAAGATCAGTCATTTCTTAGTTTGTACTAAGCATTCATACATATTTTTTTTAGTATTTAGAAGATCAGTCATTTCTTAGTTTGTACTAAGCATTCATACATATTTTTTTTTAGTATTTAGAAGATCAGTCATTTCTTAGTCTGTACTAAGCATTCATACATATTTTTTTTTAGTATTTAGAAGATCAGTCATTTCTTAGTTTGTACTAAGCATTCATACATATTTTTTTTTAGTATTTAGAAGATCAGTCATTTCTTAGTCTGTACTAAGCATTCATACATATTTTTTTTTAGTATTTAGAAGATCAGTCATTTCTTAGTTTGTACTAAGCATTCATACATATTTTTTTTTAGTATTTAGAAGATCAGTCATTTCTTAGTCTGTACTAAGCATTCATACATATTCTTTTAGTATTTTAGTATAGTTTTTAGACAAAAACATCTATAGTCAAGATGTCAAAACTCTTGTTAAAGTTCTGGTAAATTTACAATGTACAGGTTAAACTACCTTGATAAAAACCTGAAGGAAGGAATGATAGACCATGAGGGAGACAAATGGCAGCCATTGAAAACTTATAGAAATAGTTTACTTCAGCTAGATGTAGGAGATCAAGGTAGAGCTACAACTAGAGGTGGCAAGGTTGGTAGAGGACATAGATTGAAACCCGCTGGAGCTAAACGTAAATTACCTATGGCACCTCCTTCTACTGAGGGTAAGTGTTCAATTAGCTGTCAATATTATTGTACTGAGGGTAATTATTAACCTGGCTGTCAAAAATATTTCACCAGCCATCACTGTTGCCATGACGTTCACATGTAGTGTATTATCTTCCAGATGAAGAAAGTAGTGACAGCCAATGGCAAGCCAAAGAACACATGATTGCACAGAGACAACAACAATTGCAGCAACACCAACAACAATTGCAGCAGCAGCACCAGCATCACTTGCAGCAACAACAACAACAGCATCACCAACTTCAGCAACAAGAGCTACAGCACAGAGCACAGCAAGTTGAGCATCATCAAGGAGCACAGCAAATTTTAGAAGCAATGGCTGGTGGTTCTGTGAGTAAAAGAAGACGGATTGAAGAAGAAGTTAGTTCTGAACGTGGAGATGAATCTTCACAAGGATCAGAAAAAGATTTTGAGTAAGTAGTGATAAACCCTTCTGCTCAACCCAGAATATTCCACTTGTATCGATGCTATTCTGAGAATATTCCAGAAAATAAACAAAGCTATTCAGTTCAGTTTCAGTCGTTATAATCTTCATTGGTCAATGGTCAAATTATGGCAATTTTTTGTACCATGATTGGTTTCACCCCAGGTGCATGATGTCATCTTTAGCTCCACTGTTACTGATTGTTATCTATTGTTTGGTGTTGCCTATCTATATCAAACTCAACTTATACAATTTCAACTTCTCCCTGAAATTTGCAAGTCTGATTGCTTTGATACTTGGTATATATGTACTTCAGGTATACCCCTTTCAGATTTCTTAATTTCTAATTTTGATAAATATTTTTGACTTTTCTTTAAAAATCATTATATTTTTGTATATGAAGCTGGTCTCATCTAAGATTTGTTCAGTTCAAAACTATAAGTTTTTCAAATCATGCTTTAATACACTTTTATCTGTCATATTACCTACATGTTTACAGTGCATATGCTTCAATACCTTAAATTAATACACTGTTATCTGTCATATTACCTGTGTTTACAGTGTACATGCTTCAATACCTTAAATTAATACACTGTTATCTGTCATATTACCTGTGTTTACAGTGTACATGCTTCAATACCTTAAATTAATACACTGTTATCTGTCATATTACCTGTGTTTACAGTGCACATGCTTCAATACCTTAAATTAATACACTTTTATCTGTCATATTACCGTACTTTCCTGATCAGTGGCCTCAACATGTAAAATCAGGGAAAGTAAGGGATGGGCTTATATACAAGGACAACATCAGGAAAGATGATTTAACACTGTAATCATCTAACCATCCACGATCAAAATTACATGTTTCGTTCACCATGCCTTGGGTGAATATTATGTCTTTTTCAAGAAAAAAAATGAGAAATGATGAAGAAACTTGGTCATTGAAATACACACATTCTGGGATGAGAATTTTCCGCGGATTTCTAAGCCCCGGGGATCGATTTTCTGAAATATCTAAATCCGAAGAGAAAATTTTAGAGGGGGGTAAGAAAACAAATCTTGTTCATTCACCGGAAGTGAACACGCTGTCGGGTCATTGTTGTCGGCTGCAAGAGGCCTGTTTTCAGTGTATGGTCGAAGGGGGACAACTCGCGGTCTCTAATGCGGAATGTTCGCGACTATTTTCATCAGTGCAATAGTAAAATCCGAAGTGGTTTTGAAGTGTTCAAAGTAATATGTAACGATTAACATGATTGGCTGGGTTTACTCTGAGGGGCCAATCATTGAAGAGCTTTCATTTTTTTCTTTTCACCAACGGCGCTATTTTTGTTAGCTGCGTTGGATCGTTGTTTCAAGTTTCATGCAGTGATAATGGTGAAATTAACCAAAAGACAACGAGTCAGCTGTGCGAGAGATCGATAAAAACATTAGGAACAAATTTCGTTGGGCATGGCCTGGGGGCATGGCTTGACAAGGAAGTGACTTTGACCGTGCGAATCAGGAAGAAAAATGAAGTGGTAACTGAACAAGCTGGTTAGCGATCCGCTTTGCTCAAAAAACAAGCAACATGTTTTCGGCTGTTTCCATGGTAGGACATGAACGGGAAACTAACGTCAGCTTATAACTAAATGGGCCCCGTATACGAAGTTTGCAAAAAAAACATTCAGTCTTATAGAAGTCACTTAGTTTATTACTAGGACGTATTCTTCTGTTACATCATTTATTATTTCCAACCGTTTTGCGATAGTATTTTCTAGAATGAAGGCAGCATTTACAGTTCATTCAAAGTTGCGTTGTGATTACGTCAATACAGTGTAACAATGTAGGCGCCGGTGATCTTTTACCAGTGCGCAACGTAGCCAAAATAAAAAGCATGATCATTTGAACACTGCTATTACAAGACTGGTAGGAGGTAATAAATTTGGGGCGATAGTATTCAAAAATCAGTTTTTGGCTGCTATTATGGCAGTGGCAAGTATCAACAAAATCAGTCAAGCCAAAAAAGTTACAGAGGAGTTAAAAGCCGTTTCTGGTGAAAAGTTACCCCAACTTTGAGGTCAATTTTCTCTGTAATGAAAATATACAGTAAATGTTTGCCCACACTCAAGCTGAGTAGAATGAGCTGTATGTCCATGCATTTTAATCCTACAATTGGCGCTTTTTGGTACTTTTTGGTTGTTGCCATGGAAACGGTGGGCCAAAATTTGTTTTCAGATTTTACAACTTAACTAGGCTGAAAATTAAAATTCGTATTCTTGCACATTTTATTACCTTGCCCTTACCATCAAAAATGGAATGGAAAGGTATATTAAGGGAAAAATTTCTGTCTGGCGTTGGCGTTGTCGTTGTCTTTAATAATTGTTATTGTGTGCACAATAACTTTACTAATTCTATTCCAAACTTCATCAAACTTGGTCACCTTATTCATCAGTATAAAGTCTTCCCTGAGTATGAACAACAGATGTCCTGTATGAAAATATCATGCAAAAATTTAGAAAATCTGATAAAATATTTTGACTGTTTCTACTTGACTGATCACTGGTGATACACATTCAAAGGTCACTGATCTCAGTGGAAATATGCATTGTTGTATGTGTTCAATGAAGCAAATCATTTATCTTGTAATAATATGTTGGTAATGTATCTCCCAAATCCCATGGGAATACTAGACTGGGTTTCAAAACCAACTCATGAATAGAGTTTTTGCACAGTCTGATACACATTTGCAAACCTACCAATAAAATCTTTACAGAAAACAAGATGTCCGAAAATCAGTATAAGCACCCCTATGAATTGGGTGCCAAACTTTGATCAAGATCTGAAGCTAATAAAAAATCTGTTTAGTCCAAAATTATCAAATCAAATACAATACATAAAAAATATATAAAAAGCAAAATGTTGCATCCACATTTTGAAAAGAAAATTGTACTAAAATATATGTATTGTGTATTTGACAAACAGTTCATTCAACAAGTGAAAATTCACAGGACTTTGTTTCAGCAATTAGAACAGAATGATAGAGCTTTTATAATACTATTTAAAAATGCACTTCAAAA